TATAATCCCATTGTTGCTGTTAAATAAACAAGCAAATATTAAAATGGTTATTTGTTCATTCCTTTATCATATTTCTACACCACCTATCTCACCTAAGTGACTCAGGGCAGTTTACAATAACAAAAAATCATAAGATCAAAGCATAAATAAAACAGAATTAAAAACAGAATTAAAAAGTTAGGGTTACTATATTAAAAGTTAAAGGTGGAGAGAACATTCTCGTGATACCATTTCCAAGGTTGCATATCACTCTTTGATTCCCATGCTAATTGGCAAAGCCAGGTCTTAACAATCTTTTTGAAGGCCAGAAGAGAAGGCATTCACCTCAATTCTGGAGGTAAGGTGTTCCGATGGGCAACAGCAGAGAAGGTTCTCTTCTTAAATCCCACCAGTCAAAATTTTTAAATCAATGGGATCTGCAATATACCGACTCCGCCTGAATAAATGGGATGGGACAATGTAACTGGGATGAGATGGTTTATCAGGTAACAACTTTCCTTAAGAGGGGAAGAGGGAGACCGAACAAAAATGAAGAGTGGTAGGGTCCAGTGATGACTTCTTGAGAAGAGGACACACCAGCTGTCCTGAAATATCCTCTCACTAAGGCCACATTAACAATCACTAGATCCACCTGCATGTCATCTCCTTAGCAACCTCTACCTGCCAGAAGGATGGAACCAAATCCAAGGCGGCTACACGTATAATCCTAAGAACCATATCCACTTTTCTCAGGTACAACAGAATTAAACTTTCCCAGGTAATTGGGCAAGAAATTCCCAAGGTATCTCCAATGGACTTGCTTCATGTTTGGTCTGTAATTGAGAATGGATTTGAGTGATTCTATCCACTAGGTGCACTGAAAATTCTTCAGCTCAACTCTGAAGATGAACCTCAGAATCCTCTTTATTCAAAAGGTAATAGACTACCCTAAACAGGGCCACTGGATGGCACTTTGCAGATGCAGGAATAGCATACAAAAACTGACATTTCTTCACTCTTAAGGCTATGAGGTAATTCTTAATAGTTGCTCTAACTTATAATCAATCAAATTCATCCCTTATCTTCCTCCATTGAGGAACATATTGAATCCTCTTCGTCTCTTTTTAAATGAAAATGTTCTGGCTGATCTGGAGTTGGTTGGATGACGTCTGTTCAAACCCATTGATTTCACATTCAAAATGGCACCAGTAATATATGGCTTTACCAAACTATAACAACCATATATTCTGAACAATAAACACATCAAATATTACATCAAAAACACATTATCAAAACACATTACATTTTATCAATTTTTCTTGTACTGTTATTATTGCAGGATAATTCATGGTCATTTGTAACCAAAAGCTGAAGTTCATTTATACATATGTTAACCTCCATAGCTAATTCTTTGTCATGAATTAGGTAATTATTTCATTTATTATATAAATTGTATATGGTAGTTAATGGGTCACATTAAAACTATATTAGAAATCTTGGTAATTTTTGAGAATGAACTAAATATCTGGAGATGAGCATTCAAAGCTATTGCCAAAGGTTCCGTAGCTATCTACTGATATAAGTCAGACTAACTGAGGAGAAAGTTGGGTATGAGGCTTGTAGCAAATTATATGTGCACAGAAACAACTGCTGTTTTAAAAAAGGTATGGCAAATACAAAGAGGAAGTTGCAGATAGCAGTACACATTTCTATTGAATTATTCTGTTAATTCATATGACCCATTCACAGAGAACATTCTCTGTCCACACTTACCTGACCTAGAGATGGAAGAGTTCCATAAGCTACTGGCTGGTTCATCATTCCTTTCTGCTTCAAAATAAGTATGCGCTTCTGCTCCTCACTCAAAGGTGTCATTTGAGCCTGAATTGGTGGCTGTTGGGGAATCTGTTGCTGTTGTTGCTGGATATATGGCATCATAGGACTCTTGTTGGAATTGGACATTGGTGGAGTCATCCTTTGACTAAGATCAGCATTGAAATGAGACAGAGGTTTGGTGTTGCCATAAGAAAGCATATTGCCTTGTTTGCTCAAAGAGTTTGTACCCAGATTATTGGGCTGCTGACTAATCATATTGATATGGTTTTGAGGGAGGTAGTTATTTATTATAGTCTTTTGTGAGTTGTTTGCCGTGGGAGGCACTGCAGGATTTTGGTTGTTAAAGGCTTGGGGGTACATCATCGGGCTATTTGGTTTATCTGTACTGAAAGGTCCTCCATAAGGACTAGATGGAGGCCCCACTGGTGACCAGCTAGATACTTGGTTTGGATGCTGTGGTGGGGGTGGCTGCTGCTGCTGCTGCTGCTGTTTCTGCTGCATCAGCTTAGCCCGCTGCTGCTGCTGGGCTGCCATCTGCTTCAACTGCTCAGCTGGAGACAAGTCAGTGCTAGTCACAGTTACTTGGCTAGGCCCTGGGCCTGCTGTTGTCACTGTTGTTGGATTCATGTGGAAACTACTGCCTGGTCGTGACTGAGTTTGGTTTGAGGGATGTGCTTGGTTGGGAGTCTGAGGGGACTGAACCACACAGTTTGCTAGTGAACTATCCAGGCTTGGAGGCGGAGGACCATTAGAGACTGAAGGGAGGCTGGAACCTGTAGGGATATTTGAAAATGGAGGCCCTGATGATGATGGTCTTACTTGGGGAGAGCCTGTTGGTAAGTGAGCAAATGGAGAATGACATGGATCACTTTTAACACTGGCAGTCTCCTGAATCTCAGTGGCTGGTCTCGGAAATTCAGGTTCCTTTTTCTCTTCAAAGTCTTCATTGAATAAATCTTGTATATCATCTTCTGGAACAGTGTTAGCTAGCTCATCTATTAATTCCTGCCACTCCTGATCGTTCAGGTTAATGTCTGAAAAGAGTTTATTCTGATTGGAAAGGGATGTGTCAGAATTGTCAGTGCAGTTGGGATCATCCAAGGGCTCCTGTTTCAGTTCTTTGTTGCTGCTACTATTGTTGTGCAGAATGTTAAAACTATCTTCAAGCTCGGTACATCCATTGATTGAGAGTTTTAGGTCAGAAAGTCCACCATTTTTACCTAAGTCTTCCAGGGTACCCTCATTAATTCCACTGTTTTTCAGGGGCAAAGATGGCTTTAGGTCAAGCTGGTGAAGAGGAGAAATAGAAGACAAAGGCAAACTGTTTGGCAAACTATTGAGTCTCTCAATCCCAGGTACATCTTTCCGTATCCGCTTATTAGTTGGGGAGAAGCTTCTGTCACAGACACCATTCTGCTGTTCTCCATTGAGGGGTGAGCGTGCTCCTTCTAATTTTCTCTTCACTGTCTCTTGAAGCTTGAACAGAAAAGAAAAAGTAATTGTTTCAACATTTGTCCATTTCTATGTATCATAAATCATCATAACTGTATACAGAAAGTTATACTAATTTATTATGATTCATAAAGACTATGTTGTCTCAAAACATTCTGAGTTTAATTTCTGGACTTTAGTTAAACTTATTGGAATAATACAAAACTTTAGAGACACAACTTATTCTCACAAATGGATGTGTGAGGATTATTGCACTATTATAATTAGCTATAAGCTATTCTAACACATTAACCAGAATGAAGTGGTAGACTGGAATGAAGCTACTATTTCAATGAGTGGTCTATTTCAAACACTAAAAATGACTATATCTAGTACCAGCATACATTCTAGCCATCTCCATAATATATCCATTTGCTATTTAAGTAGGAAACTTCCAGAAAGCAGCCTTACGTGACTCTCCCACATGCTATGTAAAGAGGCACTGTTGAAAATTTCCCATTGCACTTTAATTTCAGGAGTTTTTATATCAAGGGTTTTAAAAATACACTATTATAACACCACAATTATCTGTTTTGCCACATGTTGCTAGGTGAAACCAATAAACAAAATTAAACAAATAGTCCTCAGCACAACAGTTGTTATTTGAGAAGCACTTTTCCTACTTCAGCTTGCAAGAAAATCTAGTGGTTTCTGCCAACAGACTTTCTTTTTCATTATATACACAGTTTACATCAGTTACAATATATACACCACAATGGAACATTTCCCAATATAATGCATTGAATAATCAAGGCAAGTACTTATTATATTGAATAAACTGCACAGCCAATCGTTTACTAGTAAAAATGTGCAGACCACCTCAGCCAAATTAATCTGGATGAGAAAAAACAGCTAGGATAAGGTAGGCCGTGTTGCCATTTCTCCCCAACGCAACCTGCCCTCCAGGTTTATATTGATTGTTTCTTCCCCTTTCAAATGCATGTCAGACAGAAAAGTACTTCATGGGACCTTCAGTTCAAGAGTGCGAGTTTTGTGTAACAAGTTCACTGAAACATGCAGTTCCCATCCCTTTATTTTATGTAACCCTACCATACTATCATCTGAACATTCAGTAAATTGTCAATCAATACTGTAGTGACTCTGAGCAATGTGGTAAGTGACCAGGTAATGCCCAAGAGATCACACAATTAATTTTTTATTTAAAAATATAAAATTTAATAACAGTGACAAAACTCAGAGCCCCTTTTTGATCCCCTTTGAAATGAGGACTCATCAGCATTTGGATGGCATACCTCAAGAAAATGCTAGTGCTACAGGCTTGATGAAAAAAAAAATATTATTTATTATTTTTTATTGAATTTATACACCACCCATGGCTGTTTGAGGTGACTCTGGGAAGTTTGCAATATAATAAAAAATAGAAATCTAACAACCGTTAAAAATATAGAAACAGATTAAAATTTTAAAAGATTAAATACAAAATAAATACCACAATGTTAGAGCAGAGTGGCAGTGGTGCATTCTGTCACTGCACCAACCACCTAGAGCTTACAGCTATCAGGGCCCCATGCCAACCAGCAGATCCAGATTTTAAGGCTCTTCCTAAGACCAAGAGGATGGGGACAGATCTCACCTCTGGTGGCAAGATGTTTCATGGTGCAGCATGACTTTTCTCCAGCCAAACTCCTGGGTTGATGGGACCACAATAAGCCCTTTCTGTCAGAAACGGTGGGATGGGCAAACCCCACTGGGGAAAGACAGTTCCTCTGATATTCTGGACCCATGCCATAAAGGCTTTAAAGCAGGGATGGGATCCGACTGATAGAACTAACAGTTCTGTTGCTCTGCGTCGTGCGCACACATGCGCTTTGTGTGTGCACGCACGAGTTGCGCGAGTGCTATTTACGACCTGCTGAGCTGCCCGGACAGCTGAGCAGTGCTACGTATGGGTGCGCAGTGGTTGGAAAAGCCCCTTTTTCCTGCTTTTTCAACCACAGCCGTGTCGCGCAAAGCTGCTGTGGTTGAAAAAGCAGGAAATAAAGGTCAAGTAACAGCCTGGGCAGGTGGGTGGTCCAAAAGAGCAGCTGACATAGAACCGGTTCTATATCTACTGCTCCTCAGACCTACTGGTTCTACAGAGGTGGACAGAACCAGTAGAAACACACCCCTGCTTTAAAGGTGATGGCTAACACCTTGAATTGGACCTGGAAGCAGATCAGCAGCCAGTGCAGTTTGCATAATAATGGTGTTACATGTGCCATGCCACCCTAAGTGCTTTCAGAAGTATTCGCACTGTTGCACTCGGGACCAATTGTAGTTTCTGAATACTATAGCCCTATGTAGAGTACATTATAACAATCCAAATAAGAGATGACCTGGGTAGGAGCCACTGAGCGCAAACCGGCAGCTTTAAAAAATGGTATTTTGCTGCTAATTTTAATGGAAGACTCCTAGGTTGCTGGGACCTGCAAGAAGCACAGGGTCTGTAAATAACTACAACTGCTTTAAACAAAGAAACAAGACAAGAAAACTGCACCTGTTAATTTCAAACATTCCCAGAATTCTTAGTTTTAGATTACCTACATCTTATTTTTTCTTCAGCTTTCTTTAATCTGGGACTCTTCAGGTTATTAGTAAATTACCGTAAAAACTTCCATAATCCTTCTCCAACATAACATAGAAGAAAATATATTAGGTAACACCAGGTCCTTTAATAAACTACAAAAACTGTTTTATATTACATAATACCAGGTAAAAATCACCATTTGTTGTATATAATGTCTGAAATTAATCTACAAAAATGGAAAACACTGTTATAAGTAATGTGATAGACCATAAACTTAGATTTAATGAATGCACTTTTTGCTAGAGTAGGTAAAGACACTATAAAAAGACACATTATAAGAAATAAACTTCAGTAGTCATACAAAACAACATTAAGAATTTTACAGCTCTTAATAATAATACACACACACACACACACACACACACACACACGTTCCATTTCTTAAGATATAATTTGATAAGAAAGTCTCTTGTATATGAATGTTTTCATTATTCCATAATGTGAATGCTGAGAAATTGTTTTACTCATATGTGGGCAAGCAGTTTACACTCTCATCACATTCAGGATACAGACAACTGGAAAGGAGGACACATGGGGTTGGAGGGAGATATTTTGTTTAACTTTCTTGGCATCCACAACAAAAATAGAGTGAAAAATTGCAAACAAACAGTCTTTAGGCCTACATGCAGGGATGGGCTGCTACCAGTTCTCCCCAGTTCGGGCAAACTGGTAGCTAATTTTATCATTTTTAATAGTCGGTTTGGCAAACTGGTAAATCCCGTCCCTGGCTGGGCCCGCCCACCCTGCCCCTCCCCTCCCAGGAGTCCCACGTGGCCCATTTTGGATGCCAGGTAAAGGACAGGGCCCACGCAGAGGTTTGGGAAGGATGAAAAATGGGCCTCCCAGAGGCTCCAGAAGCCCAGAAACGGACCTGTTTCCGGGCTCCAGAGGGACTCCATTTCCAGGAGGCTCGAGGAAAGCCTCCAGAGCCTGGAGAGGGAGAAAAGAAGTTCAGGAAGGTCAAAAATGGGCTCATTTCCAGCCTCCAAAGGACCTCTGGAGCCCGGGGAGGCCATTTTCACCTCCTGGAGGAAAGCCTCCCAGAGCCAGGGAGGGTGAAAATGCTCCCTCCCGCTATGGTGCAGGAGGTCAACTAGGCCACTCCCACCATGGCCACACCCACCCAGCAACCGATCAGAGAACTGGTTGCTAAATTTTTTCAAGTCCACTCCTGCCTACAAGTATATAAATTTACTTTTCCAGCATTTAGGAAGATTTTTTTTTTCATCACAGGAATGTGCTAAAGCTGTTAGGAGACCTTTAGCATGTAACTGATTAAGGTCTTGCCAATTTCAGGCAACAGGTAAGCTGCCCGGGGCACTAATCAACTAATTAAGGTCACAGAGCTGAGCTTGTTAATTTGCGGTTAGCACTTAGTAGAGAAGCGATGGGCCCTGGAGAAAACTGCTTAGGAAGAGATAACTTGTTAAGATACTCAAAAATCCACACAATATTTGATTTTAAGGCTGGATTGAGGACACGGGGACAAAAACAGGGATATGTCTTCCTTTTGCTGGACATCTGGTAATGCTATTTCAGAGACAGGGAAAAAAGTTCAGGATTTTAAAAATTATTGTTGTATGAAGCCAATATTTCATTTTTTGATATGATTAAGTTAGTTTATGTCAATTACAAAGACACAAAATTCATCTGATGATGTAAAGCAGGGGTGTCCAACCTTGGCAACTTTAAGACTTGTGGACTTCAACTTTAAGACTTGTGGACTTCAACTCACAGAATTCCTCAGCCAGCTTTGCTGGCTGAGGAATTCTGGGAGTTGAAGTCCACAAGTCTTAAAGTTGCCAAGGTTGGATACCCCTGATGTAAAGAATAAAGTACTATACTGTACTCTACTCTATTCCATTCTACTCTATTCTAAGCTTTGGTCATCATGAACAATATTGCCAGAACTACTACATTCCAAACAATATATTGAAATTAACTGGAATGAAAATATGCTGAAATTCATTGGAATCGTAGTGTCTAAAATTAATGCACAGCAATTAGCATGATTCAGTGACTTCTTAAGTTACATTTAGAGGACATTTATTGCTCCCCAAAGATAGGTAAAAGTTTAGAATAATATAATACACGTACTTTCTTAAACTTACACAATATCCTGAACTAAATGGCATAGACACTTAGAAATATGGTAAGACCACCTTTTCCTGGCCGAGAAAGTTAGATTATGGAGGACCACTAGTTTATTAGGAATTTTATTCCAAAATGTAACATCACAAACATCTAAATTTAATTTCATGTATATTTAAACTTAAATATGATTCAATGTGATATGGTGAGTCCTCGACTTGCACACAATTGGGACCAAGATTTTCAATACTAAGCAAAATGGTTGCTAAGTAAGTCAACATTTTACTATGTTTTATGCCATGGTTGT